CAAACTTGTGATTTTATTTATTTTATTTTTTTCAAATCACTAACAATAATGCCGTTATCACATTTTATTTATTTATTGGTTATGGAACCTGTCCTTAAAAAAAGCGACGAAAAGTAATAATAAAAAATTAAAAAAAATTAAAAAAAAAACGAGTTTTAAAGATAAAATAGCAATATTTTTTAAAAACTGTACGGTTGCAGTTCTTTATTAATTTATACAAGGCGGGAGACTCAAATGATTTCATTTACACTTAGCATAGAATTTTTTGCACAATTTGAAAGATTATGCAGGAAGCTTTTAGACATGATGCCATTTTTACCCACGCTAAGTACGGAACGACCAAAACGAGGAGAGAAAGTTGATAACTTCTTTTCAGTTTAAAAACCAGCAATTTTGAAATCATTCTATAGAATTGCAATAATTATGTTAGAATGTTCTTTAATTATAATGATATTGAAAATGGAAAAAAAACTAAACATTTGCTCTTGAATAAAAATTGTTTACGTAGAATTAGTATAGAAGTGTTTCCCCATTTTTCTCCAACTACAGTAAGTTTTATGTAAAAACAGTACTATTTTTCATTTTGTACCTATTAACTCGTTTGACATTTCTATATAGACAAATTATATATTTTTAACCTACGAATTGTTTTACGCTGTATCAAATAAAACCAAACTTAAGTCCATGGATTTAATGGTTTAGAAGTTATAAGAGTTTATTTTTTATGTTTAATGTACAATTTTAGACTCAAACCCATGTACTTGCCTGATATTACTATCGAGACAAATGAGATATTGTTTAATACGCATTCTTTTACAGCAAGTTGAATGAAATACGTAAAGTCGACAGAGTTTATTATTTATAATATATAAGAGTTATAAAGGTTTATGCGAAATAATATTTTCTGAAAATTGGCTTTGGTGAAAATTGATAGTTTTTTGCAGCAATAAATATACGATTTGGATTAATTTATTAAGAGAATTATTAAAAATTTTGATTAATATTTTTTTAACACTTTTGTTCGACACAAAAGGTGATTTCGGAAAACCATAAAAAAAGCATCATTACAATTACATTGATAATTTATATATATATATATANTTTATATATATATATATATCTATATATATATGAGGAAATTAAGATTTGGAGCAGTAGTTATAGTAAAAATCTCCCTCTTTTAGTGCTTATTTTTTAGTTTCAAGAAAAATCCGGCAAAGTATAATGTTGTAGAGTTCCACAAAATGCTTTTGAAAAAGCATTAAATTGCTTCTAATACAATTAAATTGTTTTAACTGAGTTAAATTGTTTTAGACTGAGTTTCATTATGAAGTTAAAATTGAGATATGAAATTTTTGCAAGAAATTTTAAAATGATCTTCAGTAGACCAAAATAAATTTTTTCTTTCATGAGTTAGCAAAAAAGAAGGAAGGAAAAAAAAGGTTGACTTTAATATTCCATTTTCCTTCTCTTTAAATTATAGAAATAGAGGATTAAGTGGAAACGACATCAGATTTACACACAGACTTTACTCGACTTAAAAAAAAAAAAAAAAAAAAAAAAAAAAAAAAAAAAAANTGCATAAAAAAAAAAAAAAAAAAAAAACTGTGAAAAGAATTTAAGAAAAATATTTTTTTTAAAATATATGAGGACAGGAATTTTCTTATTTTGAGGAATACTGACAGACATTTTTCTTTTTTTTAAGAAAAATTATGCTATTTTTACATTTCAAAGACTGTGTTTAATATTATTAGATAAATATTAAATATAAAGGTATCTAATATATTTCACATTATTATACTGTAAAATTCAAGGCAGAACTTTTTTGTTTTGACTTTTCGGCTTTAAATTAAAAGTATTATTCTATTATAAAAAGCTGTAAAAAATAAAAAACAAACATATGAAATTAGTTCTACGAACTTCGGGGAATAATTTTTTTTTTCGTGGTGAAACAACTACTTCAAACAAAATTCATATTAAAAATAAAAATTAGTGAATTAATGCCTAGCCTGCTTATATATTGTATTATATGCGTATAATTGCGTCTTGTATTATATGTGTTTTAAGATTTTGTTGTAGGAAAAATAAAATATAAGATGGTTGTAACGACTTTTGTATCTTTTTATTTACATGTTTATAAGAAATGAAATAAAATGGGAAAAAGAAATTTTTTATAGGCTAATATAATGTATATAGTGCTGCCATCTATATTATAAAGAAAGAGTTTAAAAAATTGATAAAAAGGGATATATATATATATAACTGGCAGAGTATGTAATATTTATAGTATAAATATTCTATAAGACAGAAGTATGTTTTTTAATGCACTAAAGTAAAAAAAGGACAACATTTTATGATTTTCCATGAACGCTTAAATGTTTTCATTTCAGAATTATTTTTAATTAACGGTTATGATATTTGAATTTCTACTTAGATGTTTTTTAAAAAAGAATATGCATGCAATAAAAGCATTGTCGTATTCCATTTAGCAGTTTTATTTTTGTTTTTATATTTAAAATTAATAGATATAATTTAAAAATATTTTGATTATACCACGAAAATGCTTTAAGTTGTTAGTGAAATTAAAATAATTGTTGCTCATAATTGTCAATTTTAGTTTCATATCAATACAAATATTAATCAGAAACTTAAAAAGCATAAAAGCTGACAGTAGCTAGGCGGTGACAACAAATTACAATTTTTTTCCAGTTAATTACTTCATTTGGATAGAACAAAACAAACTCTTCCCCAACAGCGTTTAAATAATAAAAAATTGTTCTTAATAAATTTCTGAAAATGCTTTAATTTTTAATTGTTAGTACAGTTATTCTCAGTTTCTATTGCTTTCAGTTTTTATCTTAGTTTCATTCCGCAATGGTTGGCAACACTTAAATCTTGTCTCTTGATATTATTATTTTTTTTAAATATCCTACGAATTTAATCCTAAGAAATATTTTAATTTTATCAGGATATAAAGTGGTATAGTCAGGATATGTATTTTATCAGGACATTTATTAAAGTGGTAGAGAAAGAATAATAAATGGTAGCAAAATTTTTAAGTAGCAGTTTTTTTATCAGTTGAATCAATTTTTCCCCCTTTTAACACAAAAGCGTTAGATTAAAAAAAATCTTTGAAAAGCGTCATAGTGTTGACATAGTAAAATTATTCCTTTGACTAAATTGTCTTAATTTTTCATTCCCTCTATTTTTTTGTAAATATTTAAATCCTTCCGAGATTTATATTGACAGTTTGACAAAAAATGCTACTTTTTTCAGAAGATCATTAACATCAATTCTGTTTAGTTATACAATTTTTTTTAAATTATTGTCTTAAAACGTTTTTATTTTAAACAAATAGCAAAATTTTTAGGCAATTTTTAAGAGCTAAAAACTAAATTAAATATTTAAGTTTTTCTTTTCTTCCAATTATCGAGAAAAATGAGAAAACTTTTTAATGAAGAAGAAAATTCATATATTTTAATTTTTTTAAATAAAGATGAAAATTTATTTTACAGTGTCGTAGATCAAGGAGTATTTTTTTATTAATTAAATACAAAAAAAATGAAATCGGATAGCAATGTTGAGCCTGAAATCAGTGTCAAAATAACTGTTATATGCATATGAAATAAGTAATTATTATCCTTATTTTTCATTTCCAATATTTTAATTCTCCAATTGAAATAATGATTCTTAATTAAGTATTTATGAATGCTAATGAATACTGAAAATCGTTTGAAATTAATTCCTGTTCTCATAGTTTTCATTGCGGTATTACGTTAAAGTTAGAAATTTTAATTTCTAACTGTGTGACATTACTTAAGAAGTATGTTTGTAAAGCTATCTTGTAAAGCTTTGGCTAAGGTAGGTTACCAGATGTTCTCAAATCTTGAGTACAGTGGTCGAATTTCATTGATTGTCCTCTAAAGCTTTAAACTCTATGAAAACAGAAAATGTCTTTTCACTTTAACGTGCTCTCAAATATCATCGAATTTCTCTGAAAACGTATAATCTTTTTTTTCCTTTTCTTTTAAATACAGTAAAATATATAAAAAAAGGAAAAATGCATATGTTTTTTTATGCAGTAAAATATCAAAGAAAGAAAAAATAAGTATGTTTATTTTTTTAAATTTTTTAAATTTTTTTTAAATGTTTTAAAATTTTTTAAAAATTTTTTAAATTTTTTTTTTTAAATGCAGTCAAATATCAAAGAAAAGAGAATTTTATCTTACAGAGAATACAAACAAAAAGTGAAAAAGCATTATGCTAAAATTAACAGATGGCAATACCATACTCGTCTAAAAATAATTTTAGCAAAAAATAAACAAATTTTAATCATCAAGTTCTCATTTATTTGTTCAAATGCAGAATACTGTATGATATTTCAAAACTGCTTAGTGATGAAATAAGTTTGATGAAGTTTTAACCACAAATTATAAATTAAGTGTCCTCAAATTGTCAAATTATAGTTTCAAGAAGATGGTTCTGCACCTTTTATTAGTTAGCTTAAAAAATAAGAAAAATTGTTGCACACATAGATTATTATTTTCCATAAACATGCAAGTGTCCTCAAATCGTAAAATTTTCGAGAAGGCTCCACTGATTTGTCCTCAAATCATGGTTAATAAATCTGTTCAACAGTTTCTGAATATATTGTGTTAATATAAATTATTGTCACTTTTGGAAAAATGATAACAAATAGTTTTTCTTTCAGCTTAAAAATTTCATCACTATTACAGCAACAAGACAGACTTAAACTGTGATCTCTTTAAGTAAATCTAGATCCATATCTGTAACATCATCTGTCTACATCGTGAATGGATCTTGAGCTTAATCGACATCATTTATCGATATCACATAAATGAATCTAAAGCCCTATACTTAACAGCATATACACCGCAATCCTCTGTATGAATCTTGAGCCAAATCTGCTACATCATTTTTCGACATCATTCTCATCTGAATGAATCTAAAGTCACCTCTGACGCATCATTGTTATCTGAATGAATTTCACTGGTTTAATAATCACTGTTCATCGGCTGATTACTATCTTGATCATCATCATCTGCATCCATGGCGGGGGTGGTGGCTTCATGCACAAAATGAAAATGATGAAGATGATGAAAGAGCATCAGGAGAATCAACACAAAGGAATCACCATTGGAATCAAAGCGATCAAAGTTCCAATCCCGATTCCCATTGCAATGCCATATGTAGAAAACCAAATGATGATGAAAGGACATAATAAGTAAGAAATTACTCTTAAGTTTTATACCCCCACGTCTTGATTACACATATGTAACCGGGCTTAAAGATAACTAATATAACCTTAAATATTATTTTTTGAAACAAATATTGCTTTGTAGCGGCTGTTAAATTGCAAATATCAGATATGAGCCTTCAGTCTCAGCACTTTCAACTTGTCTTTAAATCAATGATAAAAAAAAATTCTGTAACTAATATCTGATTCAACATACCTGTAGTCTGAACACATTCAACTAATCTTTAAGCCAATGAGGTTAAAAAATTCTCTAGATCCCAAAAGGTGTGAAGCGACACCCTAATAGGCTCCGTGGAAGGGTCACTAAGATCCCGAGAGTAAGAACGTTCTTTAACCAGTTATGATTTTCGAAACCTGAAATTAAATTTAAACATAATTAAATATCCATAATATATTTAGTATATTCATTATTTTTCTGTATTATTTAAGTAAAATGCTAGTAAGGAAAGAAAAAATGCTTTTAATCTCTAATATTTGCTTTATTATTTGCTCTAATATTTGAATTATCTTTCAACTCCAAAGACATTTGTGCTAGCGTTCTGAAATTCAGACATTGAGTGAAAAGAACAATTTTAGTTCCTGATACTAAAAATAGTTTAAAAATTTCGATAAGATAGTTCAGGTGAGGCGATTGAAAAACGAAATTTTTTCATTGGGTGAAATTGTTTCTATGACAACCAGACATTATAAATAAAACCACAAACGGTTCTGTTCTATCAGAAATTTTATAAATAACATTTTATAGATCTACTAGTTTATAGCTGTCATTAATAAAAGATAGAGTTCATTGCATGTTCTTTAACATTTAGTTATATTTTATGCGTTCTAAAGATAAACTTAATTGCAATTATGGGTGGATTACGTCACCAAATTAGTATTCCCAAAGTTATCTAAAACAACGGGTTTATTTAGGTTATATATTTAAAACGTGTTTCTATAAAACTAAATCTTCTTAAAATCAAAGGCAACATAAATGATAAAAAAAATTAAGGTATGTGCTGAAAAGCAAAAATTGATGGAGAAATAATACTAATTCGTCGAAAAGAAACATTGAAAAGTCGCCATACAAATATTGATGTCAATGATGCTTAATTAATTTTAATAATAGCTATGATTTAGATTTAAAAAAAAAGTACGTTATCTATTAAAAATGTAAAATTAATGGAAAAAAATAATTATTCATTTACGAGAAGCATACCTTGATATACTATTATTCAATTTCCACGATGTTATTAACGCAAATGGTGCTTAATTAATTTTGGGTATAGGTTCAAGTTGAAAAAAAATAAGGGAATGTTTTAAAAAGCAAAATTAATGGGAAAATGTACTTAATTCGCTTAGGCAAACTATAAATAATAGCTATACTACGATTGATGCTAATGATTTTAAATTAATTTTAGTAATTGGTACTAATTGAAATAATAAATGAACTTTGTACTAAAAACCAAAAATAATGAAGAAATGGTACTTAATCATTTAAGAGAAGTGTAAAAAATGCTATATTATTCTTAATGCCTTATTAATTTTGGTACGAAATAGAAACGAAAAGTAAGCAATATACTTAAAAGTAAAATTAATGGAGAAATGATACTAAGAGAAACGCATAAAAACGCCATACTAATATTGACGCCAATGATGCTTAATTAATTTTGGTAAAAGGCAAGATTGATATTACTGTTATTGGTCCATCTTTAAGAACTACAAAATAATACAATACAGGAACAAAGCATTACATCAGTGTATTTAGTATGTCGTAAACTGCACCGTTTAATATAGATACTGTGGTTTTTAGAGTCTCTTCGAAATGGATAAGAACAGGGGAAAGTCACTAGATTATGAATCGCTGATGAAATACAGCAGATTTCAGCTCATAAATTATACAATTTATTTCTTTTATTGAAAACAAAATTATCTGTTTGATAATATCGCCTCGCAGATTAAGCTGTAGTAAGCAGTTGTAAACTTTCTAACCGGAAGTAGAATAGGTCGAGATTGTTGTTGTTTATATTTATGTCGAAAACACCATCCATACACTTGATATCGTTCCATCCATACTTAGGATAATTTCACTTTAAAAGATTTATCAACTTAGATAAATTAGTTTTATAGACATAAATAAATAAAAACTGATGCGTGAGTTAAAATGCTTCTAAAAAATGCCAAAATTTTGAACTTGATTAAAAAAAAAAAAAAAAAAAAAAAAAAAAAAAAAAAAAAAAAAAAAAAAAAAAAAAAAAAAAAAGGAGAGAAAAATTCTTCTATAATATGAACCCAGTTTAATGTAAAATGAACATTTAAAATTCAATTTAAATTAATAGCAAAGTCACCGTAACCAGCAGGAAAAAGCAGTATAAATTATTTTAAAACGTGTAGAAACTCATTTAGGCTGTGACGAGTTAAAAAAAAATGACGTATCTCTTTTGCATGGAATATTCTTTACCGGTCACTTTACCGGATACATTCTTTATCGATCAATATTTACCTGCTTGCAAACTGCTAACGTATGAAATGCAAAACTTAATGTATGCAAAAGAAAAGAAAAGTAAATCATTTTTTTAAACTTCATATCAGTATTGTTATAGTTAGTACAATATCCCATAAAATTAAAAAAATCATCTTCTTTTTTAAAATTTTTTTAATTGTTGTATGTGTTAACATTTTGTAGGGGTATGCAGAAGAAGAAGATGAAGGGACAAATGATGATGCAAATGATGGATAAAATGATGAAGATGAAAATGATGAAGATGATGATGAAAATGCATATGAAACAGATGAAAATGAAACCCAATAAATGTAAGCCCAAATGCATGATGATGAAAATGATGAAAGCGAAATGCGAACAAGAATGCCCTGAAACACCCTGTCCTGTTATGATGGATAACAGTTGTGACAGTATGTTATCTTTTAGCTTTTTCAACGAACACTGGAAGATTTTAAGTTTTTGTTTGAAATATTATACCCTTTATCGTATAGTATTTTTAAACTTGTGTTTCTGAATATTTTTAAACAATTTTAAAAAAAATATTTTTCTAACATACGAAAAATTATTCATTGAAAATGTTTTTTAATGCACTTAATTTAGTTTTAAGGTTTCTTTTAACACATGTTTATAAATGTACAGATTTTGGAACGATATGAACTTTATCATCGTTTAAATCTGCCTCAACCATAATATAGTGCCAATTTGAACAGTATTATCGAGTTTCTGGAATTAAATTGTTCCGATTTATCTAAAATTCGGTCCTATTTGGCATCTTGTTTAGGTTTTAGAAATCTCTCACGAAATTTTGGTTCAAGGTTTGAATAATTTTTCTGGGAGTATAAACATAGATCAATTTCGGGAAATGCAATGAACTGACTTGTTTAAACTCTCAGCTTAATAACTAAGTAAAGAAAAATTAAATCAATAGCTGAATATTTACTTTTCCTTTTTAAAATAAATAAATAAAAAAATAAAATAAATAAATAAAAAATAGACATCCAGCTACGATTTAAATTAATTTTTCTGCTGATTTTACTGCTACTGAATTTAATTAATTTAAAAGTTTGAAAAATTAGTTTTTTTATAAAAAAATTCGTAAAAAAATTGTAGTTTAGTATTATTATACTCAAAACTATTTGCTATCAGTTCATTTTAAACTTTCCGCACTGACATTTGCAATAGAATAATCAGTGTAAAAAAACTGTGTCAATGATAAATTATCTTCAGCCAAAAATGCATAGCTGTTTTTTAAATTTTTTATTTATTTTTTGTTGTTGATTTTTTAGGTTTTCAGGTTATCAATTATGTTAACATATCCGTGAATAAACTTATCCTCAGGAGGCTAATTTTTTTTTAAATTTACGGTAATATAACGGTAATTTGGTAAATTGTTTGGTTTATAATAATTTTCTTATCCTTAATACAAGTTTTGAAGACAAGTCCTTTTTGTAGCTTTTAAATAGGTGGAAGTTTTTTGTGATTTAGCCATATTATAGTAATGAGTTAAGCACCTTTTGCCCATAAGAGGTGCGCAGGTCAAGGAGATATAAAATAAATGTCAGGTTGGACACTTTTTCCCTCAGAAAGAAACAGACTTAATAGTTTTATAACGACATGCTCATCCACGTGCGAATACTAGTCACTATCTTTATCATTTACAAGTTGCATAAAATCAATCAAAAATTATTTGGTTTCTAATTCCAAAACCAGATATAATTTCAATCCAAATTTATCAAAATAATTTTCCATGTTTTAAATAAATTTGCAATGTGTGTTACACGGCAAGAGCTGTTCATCAATTGTTATAATTTTCTCCTGCTATTAAAACAACGTTAGAATTTCAGAAAAAATAAAATTACCCTTAGGAAGATTTGCAAATTTATCGTTTCTTATTTCGATTTAAGAGCAAATAGATCTGAAAAAAATGCGATTTCGGGGTCTGGTGAACGACAGTGAAATGGAAATGGATCTCCTTAATGAAGAAAAAAAATTCCATGTACGCAAGCGCGTTTGCCGATAAAATAAAGATAAGTTATGAAAAAGAAAGAATATAATATTACAAAGAAACATGTTTAAATCTCTATTGTGGACCTTTTTACAGCTATGGTCGTTCTAGGTAGAACTTCGTTTTATGCACTTAGTATATAACCAAATAAATAAAAAAATTTACTGCTTTTAAAGACCTCTAAAAGGTAGGAAAAGTCACGTAAAAGTAGTAAGCTCGTATAGTTATTTTAGGAATTAGCTCCTCTTAAAATTTATTTGTTTACAAAATGACCTGTCCGGTCATTGTAGTTTTAATTATATTATTCAAACACTTATTATTTTTAAAGAATATTGTTCGAACTATTGTGTATATTTTTAAGTTATTTATCACTAGTGGTGGACAAAATTTTCATACATCAACTTGTTAAAGGAAGATAATATTAGCGTATGCATTTAACGACCATTTTAAAAATAAAAAATAAAATCTCCGCAAAAAAAAGGAGATTCGACAGCTGTAAAAAATTTTCGTTTCTTTTTGTTGAAATAATTATTTCAAAAATTTTTTAAATTATGTCATTCCAGGTTGTCCTGCGATGAAAAGTGGTTGGCCTTCAACTGGTATGATGATGATGGACAATGGCTGGCCCGCTCCAGAAATGATGATGAACGGCTGGCCATCACCTATGATGATGAACAACGGTTGGCCATCACCGATGATGAAAGGAATGATGAAAGCAATGTGTCCGGAATGCCCACCATGCGACGACGAGAGACCGGAAGTAATGGAACCCGACTACTACGACGAAGAGCTTGAGGAGGATATGAATGCATGGGATACGAACCCAGAACCTGTTTATCAAAAGATGGACAGTGATGTGAAAATGAAAGGCGATAACTTAGATGAGGCAATCTTTTACAAATTTGATAAACATTTACACATTAATGCATTCAAACTGCCTTTAAGACAAGGATCAAAACATTCAGACTATGATAAAAGAATGGTATATGACTTTGACTATTGAGTCTTTGATTATAAATATTAATGCGTTCAAGTTCCTCTCAGACAGTAATCATAATTTTCAAAGTCTCATTTAACAACAGAATATGACTTTCAGTATATGAATATAAATATTACTGATAAGACAGGAAGTAGAGTTTTCAGAATCTAGTAAAGAATAGAATATGACTTTAACTTTTGAGTGTTTTATGAAAGATATTGATGCATTCAAGCTACCTTTCAGAGATCAAAGTTTTCAAACTCTGATAAAAGAATGGAATGTGACTTTGACTATTAAGTATTGACTATTAAGTATTGACTATTAAGTACTTGACTATTAAGCATTTGATAAGAATGCAGTTGGGGCAAAAAGTAGGGATGCCAACTGCACCTCCTTCAGCAAAAGTTTTAAAAAATTGATAACGAATTAATAGAAAGCTTGTAGAATAAGGATAATTACCTACTTTTTAAAAGAGTAACCAAGAGATAAATGCAGCAAAGCCGCATTTTATATAATACTAAATTTTTTTTTAGGAGGAAAAAATACTTAAAATGAAAAATACTAAACTCAAAATATGTTAAATTTTGTTACGACAAGAAAATATTTTTTAATCAAGCTGAGCAAGCTGGCATATCTGCAAAAGCTTACGTGTAAAGCATTTACTATGGTCGTGTAAGGCAGTGTTCCCCAACCGTGGACCGTGGACCGGTACCGGTCCGTGGTTCAAATGATACCGGGCCGCCCATTCCATTGAAACTGAATTTAAATTCCTAGGTTTACACCCCAAATTAAAAATATCTGTTCCATTAAAATNTACTATGGTCGTGTAAGGCATTTACTAACAGGACTATAAAACACAGTGTTAAATTAAAAGACAAATAATCCTCTATATTCATAATGTTTACAAAAAATTTCCCATGTGTCTTGCTACCATGATGTTTTATAAACGCACATTTTAGTTTTAGGACGGAGTTTTATTGTAAATACTTTATATTTATGTTGATATATTGAATTATTAAAATTTTAAAAGTGTTTCATTTTAAGTCAAGTCAATTTTTTTTTATTTTGAGTTATTTTGTTGTCAGAATTTTTAATAATTTTTTTTAATAAATAAATTCCTTTTTTAAAAAATATTTTTTTAAAAATTCGTTTAATAATTTTTCTTTTTCTCTTTTCTTTCTTTTCTTAATCTTTATTATTTTCCATGTTTTCTCTATATTTTATTTAAACTTTTATATATATATATATATATATATATATATTAGACAATGTAGAAATATTTACATTTTACAATTCCATGTTGTAAATAATGTCTTCTTCTTTGTTAGCGCAACAGCTCCTTGTAGGCTTTGCTGCCTGAACTATATACCCATCCATGGCAATTCCCTTCCATTTTCTAATCTTGAGGGTTTTTAGGCCATTTTCGATGCCGGTGAGCTATCTAGTCGGGGATCTACCTCTGGGATGTGACCCTTCGGGGTTCTTAAAAATTATGATTTTCATGGCTTCTCCATAGATGGCCCAGCCATCTCAGTCTATTACTGCGGATTATTTGCATAGTTTGGGGCTGCTTATAGAGTCGGTACAGTAGAGTTCGCAGTTATATTTGATTCGCGAGTATCACCTTTCGTGAATTGCGCCAAAGATAACTCTGAGGATCTGTCTTTGTGTCGAAAGTGTCCAGTAACAGCTGCATATCTGAATTTAGCGTCCAACTTTCGCTTCTATAAAGCAATACAGTAAGTATGAGTGTCTTATAGAGTTAACTTTGTTTTTCGGCTGAGAAGATTCGGTGTTAATTGTTTCCTCAGTCCAAAGAAACACTCCATTTTGACACGATTGTTAATTTCTGTATCTAAATAATGTACTTATATTTTGTATATTTTACATTATTTTAATTTAGATTAATTAATTAGATACATTATTTTATATCAATTTTATATTAATTTAGATCAAAATAAGTAAAAAATATTATATTTATCATTTTAATAACCTATGGTTATGAAACTCCGGTGTCATTTTCTGCTTTAAAGGCAAAATCTTACAAACGCTGCTCACCACCGAACAATAATTTTTCACATTTGTACATATTTTCAGTTATTTAGATCGAAGATAAATAGTTATTCATCGTTGAAAATTCTATATTTAGTACAAATATCATATCTGTAATCTAACAGATTTTTTTACTATTGGATTGTTTTGCTAAGTTAAATAATACCAAAATATGTTTTTACTTGTAATTACAGCTTCAGTAAAAATATATAAAAATAACACTGGCGTCCCCCTGCATCTAAAGGTTAAAAGTAGTTTCATTTATTACTTTAGAATCGTCTATTACTTAAGAACGCTCATATAATCCTAGTGGAAAAGAACTTTTTTTTAATAATTTTTAAATTCCTTATTTCAAAGTATGAATGTTTTTTAAGTCTATGTTATGATTTTTTTAGTCAATAGAAAGAAGAAATGTAAGATTCTGTATGCTCTAATTTATTTTCAAAAATTCATAAAATAAATTACAAACAGTTAAAACTTTACTTTTCATACAAATAGAGTAATACAAATCGTTAAAAATTTCCATAGCTTTGTTGAATCATTAATTACTTTTGGAAAAAACCAACCATATATTAAAGAAACACTACTCATTGTATTTTTTTATAAGTAAATTTCAAAACTACGCTTTAATTAAGAGATCATTTATAGTGAAATTAAGTTTTTTTAAATATTTGAGTTTAAAGTTTACATATTTGAATTGATGTTATTTCAGACAACGCATTTTCAATGTATAATATACTATTCATACAAATAGAGTAATTAAATTTATGTAATTAAATTTTTAACGTGATTTTGATTTTTATCATAATTAAATTGAATTTTAATGTTTTGATTTTTAAGAAAAAAGTTTTAATTTGAACCAATTTGATTCAGGGTATGAAATTTAAGGAGTGAGATAAGGCTGTGAGACAAAAACTGCCCTACATATTTGTGGCAATAAAATAAAGAACTGAAAATTTTTAATAAATAGTCTCTCAAGCAACGCGATTCTTAATCCACTATATTTTATTTTGAAAAATGTTAAGATAAAGCAAATCGCTTCTTTGAGAATAGAGAAATACCACCTTAAAGATAAAACTTCGGAAGATGGATGGGAAAAGGGCCGTAAACGAAAAATTTTGATGATGATGAGAATACATAGACTTTAACCTCTACGGATTCTCCTTAGTTTCAGAAAAAAAATTCTAGTGGTTGCAAAGATATTTTATTTGAGTTTTAATAAAATACAATTAAAAGAATTTTGTCCAACCACTAAGCACAAATAATTCAAATAGATACATATGAGGTTATGCAGAATGTTAAAGTTATTAAATTTTAATTAACTACCATTAACGTTCACTACCACTGAAAAAAAAAATAATTCCTCAAATATTTGCGGTCTCTGCGAATATGCTTGCAGTCACAAGCGACTCCAGATTCAGGATCAGGAATATATATATACTTTTGAGTGTTTTATGAAAGATATTGATGCATTCAAGCTACCTTTCAGAGATCAAAGTTTTCAAACTCTGATAAAAGAATGGAATGTGACTTTGACTATTAAGTATTGACTATTAAGTATTGACTATTAAGTACTTGACTATTAAGCATTTGATAAGAATGCAGTTGGGGCAAAAAGTAGGGATGCCAACTGCACCTCCTTCAGCAAAAGTTTTAAAAAATTGATAACGAATTAATAGAAAGCTTGTAGAATAAGGATAATTACCTACTTTTTAAAAGAGTAACCAAGAGATAAATGCAGCAAAGCCGCATTTTATATAATACTAAATTTTTTTTTAGGAGGAAAAAATACTTAAAATGAAAAATACTAAACTCAAAATATGTTAAATTTTGTTACGACAAGAAAATATTTTTTAATCAAGCTGAGCAAGCTGGCATATCTGCAAAAGCTTACGTGTAAAGCATTTACTATGGTCGTGTAAGGCAGTGTTCCCCAACCGTGGACCGTGGACCGGTACCGGTCCGTNAGAGAGAGAGAGAGAGAGAGAGAGAGAGAGAGATACGATCTAACGTATTGAAAAACTTTGTGACTCAGCTATCCATGGCGCATAGCGGTGGATGACTTCTTAATTTTTCGTGCGTTAACTTCTTACGTGACATCAAAGAATAAGGAACGGCCCTTATCATTTCTTAACGATTGATTTAATTCGGCCATTCCTAAAAATAAATTCAAAGAAGTAAATAAAACTTTTCCGCTTCTTAGAATGTTGGAACAAACATATCGTAAAAAAAGGACCTAGAATCGGGAAATTTACTTCATTCTCAACCTTCATGAGAGAAGATTAATGGTTTTTATTTTTCAGAAACGTTAACAAATTTGAGGTTAAACTGTTGCCATTTCGACAAAGAAAAAATTATTTAGTTTTTATTTATTTACTGTATTTTGCGGAATTTGTTTTGATGCTTTTAGATTTGTGACTTATTTAATAAATTTTCGTTCAAAAATATTCGTAGGGATGCCGGCTGTTCCACTTTTCTGCAAAATGTTTCATAGATTGTTCCAAAGTTAAAGCTAAGTATTTTTAGAAATTCAGTTGAGTTAGCCAACATATTAAAAAGTCTTACCACAGTAGTATTGAAACAAAGTGGAGTGTTACATGAATTATTCACATATAGCGGAGGGAAAAATTATTTTTAATGAAATTTTAACTGTAAATCATACATAAAAGCCTCAACATTCATTTAACTTGAAAAAAGTAGCGTTTCATATCAACTTTTGAATCATTTACATGTAGTGTTGTTGAAGGTAACTTTAAATCAAAATTTTCAAACAAAGAATCATACGTTACAACATAAATTTAGCAACCACTAGAAAAAAAATTGCTCAAAAGATTAGTAAACACGCTGCCCTAAACGTCGCTACCATTAAATTTTTTTTCTTCACAAAGCTGAGCAAGTTTAGCAACTTTGCATTGGTACCTAAAACTTAAAAGGTGTTTAAACTAATTTTATATTAAATTGATTAGTTCTCT